TAACTTAAACTAATATACAGGGTGTTTCAGGGTTAAGTGGCCAAACTGAAAATATGAACTTAGGACCTCAAAACAAGAAAAAAAAATTCCTCAGAATATATGTGTTTGCGGACATGCTTTGTTTAGGAGATATTCACACCTAAAGATTTTCATTGTTATGAATTATTTACATTATCTTAAGTAAATAAAACTTATTTATTCGTTCTAACTACTTTATTAATTAAACTTGAACATTAAATTCATATTAAATGTTGTTAAAAGTGAAGGTATGTCCGCAAATGCTTTGTTAAGGAGATGGATTGGCCGTGCAGGACCAATAATGTTAAACAAAAGCAGAATAAGATTGGTAATATATTTAATTCTTATAAGTATTCGGAAGATTGATGGCTGAGGAGATAGAAAAAACATTTGGTTTATAAATAAAGATAATGATGAGGTTTTTTTAAAAATAAAATTTTTTTATGGCCTATTAGAAAAAAATATACATGTTTTTTGGTTGGGATTTCGTGTTGACAGAATGGACAGAGGAACAGTAATTATATCAGGAATTATTGACCTAATATTCGATGAAAAGGCAAATTAGATATGGATCTATCTACCTTTGAATATATCTAATACTACGTGCTGTTTCACGGACATTAATCTCAATGTAGCTATTAGAAACCTTTTTAAATTCGATAAAATGTTATTTGCAAAGTTACTGCGGTTTTATTTCGTTTTAGCTGATAGTGGAGACACATGTCAGTAATGTATAAACCAATTTGCAATGAAACCATTGTTGAAACAGGTGGAATGAGTTACGTAAGACACAGCTACGTTTCCATACATATATCCAAACTTCTGCATATTCACATATATTAAAATTAGATGTAGAATTTAATTACTTTAAATTTGGATTATTTTAAAATTTCATTTTGTAGAGAATTTGGAAGCCTTTCTATCTATCATGGGTTCAATAAATTGTATTCTGTTTTCACTAGCGGATCCAGGATTTAATTTTTTTTTTTTTTTTTGGGGGGGGGCTTCAGCCCGAAAGATTTTTTTCATATATATATATATATATATATATATGTGTGTGTGTGTATATGTATGTATATATAGATATATATATATCGATAATTAATTTGAAAAAAAGAAATAAAGAAATGAACTACCTATATGAAATGGTGTTTAAGTGATTCTTGAAGTCCTATTAAATGTAATTACACGAACAATAGTACTTTAAGAGATAGTTTTTAATATTTTTTTTCTATAAAACATGGTTATATTTTAACTTTTTGGGGATGGCTTCAGCCCAAAAGCCCCTCCCCTCCCCCGTAGATCCGCCTGTGGCTCTTTTGTATAGTATAAAAATAAAGTTTCGTTTTCTTCATAAATTTTTTCCTTGAATTTTCTGTGTATTCGCACTTTTTTTTTTTTTTTTCATCTTCAGAAGAAGACAATCATCAAAAGTATAGCTCGATCATTGGTTTCACTGCCAAAAAAAAAACCTTTGAGAATAATAATATTTTATACAAACATTGATTGCGCAGAATATTTGGACCGAAAAAGGACGTGTCAACCGGAGAATTTAGGCGGTTACACAACGCTGAATTGCCTGAACTGTATCCGGTTAATATAATTCAGGTGATTAAGTTGATGCGAATAAAATGGGCATGTAAAAACGCTGGGCTTAGTAACGAAACAATTCTTAAAAAAATAATATGCGCTGTACCGACTGGCAAGCGTCCGAGGCGTAGACCAAAGCGAAGGTGGGCAGATTGCGTTTGGGCTGATTTGGAAGGGTTGGATTTAGATGGATCCCTTTGGATGGAAGTATGAGGATATCGATTGGTGGTATCGGAATCGAACCTTCGGGTTCGCTAAGCCTTATTATTATTTATTATACTAACATTACTTCGGTTCCATAAATTGATAACATCTACTTTTTTTATATTTAGGTTATTTTTTCTGTTTACAATTAAGACTTTAAGTTTAGGTAATTTATGTTATACCTTGTATTGTACGAGATACTACTTTAAGAACATAATAATCATGTCTACATCACTATTGGTTCGGGATCAGATTAAAGTTGAAATTGGTAATCTACATTAAGTACTTATTATCTGTATTGATTTTTAATTTCGATTTAGTGAATGAGAGTGTTATTTTATTAACCATTGGTTTATTGCCTTATGATTTATAAGCTCAATTTGATTTAAAAAAAAAAAAATTTAAATCCAATTAAGCAAATGAATGTTGATGATTAATGGGATATTTGACAACAATGGCACGCCAGAGTCCAATTCATACACTCCGATTACGTCATAAAAGACCATAGATTACGTACGAGTATTTGTAATTGTAATACGGCTAATAGTAAAGGAGAGCTTGGCCAGCCTACTCTATGGTCCAAGTGAAAGGTTCCTTTTAATTGTGTAACATAATTCAACCTGACGAGGAGAAAGCTTCCAAATGGCAATAAACCTCAAACGAGTGTATATTTTAAAATGTTATACGAAGAATTATTATTATTTATCTTTTCCTACACAGGAAACTGGTTTTATTAGAAAGTAATATTGTTATAAAACAAATGATAAACTGAAATATTAAACAATTATTTAGTAAGCTACCAAACATTTTTTGTATCATAAAAAAACAAAAAAAAAAAACAAATATTGGATTCGATTCTGTAAAAAAATTATAAATATTTCGATACTTTATTACTATACCGATTCTGTATTTATTTTAAGACAACAATTTAAAGTAAATAAATGTATTAAATTTGTATAATTTAAATTGACCGATGGAGGTAGGTGTGTAGTCAGAGATTAATGGTGTCGGCATCGAACCTTCGGCTTCGTTTATTATTATATTTGGAATAACATTTTTTACAACATTAATTTTGTTAAAGAAAATAAATATAGTCTAGATAGAAAAAACAATGGTCTAAAATTTTTATCTTATACTAGTGTTGCCCATATTCGTAGTCTTGAAATTTAGTACAGCGCGCTTATCACAAAACTTTCACTTGAATCATAAAATTTTAAAATTTAATCCAGATATAAAATAGTAATTAGGCAATAACATATTTTTATTTATCACTTGTTTTTCGCCATTTTCTATTAGCTTAAACTGCTTTTATATGTTAGACATGAATTTTTTTTTTTTAATCTCTGGCTTTCCCAACAATACATTATTCATCAATATTATTCCTCTTAAAAACAAACAAAACTGTTATGTAAATTATCAAATTCCATTTATTGTTTTCTTTTTCATCCATTTTTTTTATTAGTAGTATCAATAAGAGAGGGTCGGTTATTTCTAATAAACAAAATAAAGATACCTTAAAGACAATTTAATTGTTCATTGATATAACGAAATAAAATTTGCACTTCTCGTAAGTCGATTCTGACGAAAATGTTGCTCAAACATTTCATTAAAAGAAAGTAAATGGTTTCAAAAAGTAGATAAATGGAAAAGAAATGGATCTGATTTCTTTTACCATAACAATTAATAACCAGAAAAAGGAAATAACGGTTAAAATATAACATATTTCCTAATAACTGCCCTTCCAAATAATAAAGTAAATTATCATTGCACTGAAAGTAGAGTGAATGTTGAATGGGTCAGGTTGAACACGAAGATAGTTGAATTTGCTACGGACGATACAATTCTAGAATAAATATTTTTAATAAGATTTAAGTTTTAGTTTTGTTTCTGAAAGTACCAATCCTTTTCGGCATCAAAACGTTTAACCTCTAATTAATGTATATTTACATAAATATACATATAAAAATAAGTTTAAAATTCCCTTGTAATGGTCTTTTGTTTCAATAGTGAGGCAGCAGCTACTTAGTTTAGATCACTAAGAACTCAAAGTAAGTGCTTTCTCAGGAAGGAAACTAAACAACTAAAGATTTGAAAAATGATTAAAATTAAACTTATTAAACTAAAATAATTTTTATTTCCACCTGGACTAAGGAAGTAAAATTTTTCAATATATTTAACTAATTCCAAGTCAAATAAGTTCCCAGACATTTAAAATGAAAAATATATTTTATTATTTTTCTATATATCTCTCTTATTAATGGAGTGAAGTTAATAAAAACAATTATAATATTTAAAGCTTCATATATATAAATATATATCTCATTGGAATGATATAATAAAGAAGAATACTTAAAATATGTATCCTTCCACTGTCATTATTTTGCTCACGACAAACTACAACGTTTGATTATAATGAAGTATTTTGAATCACAATGATTGAACACTTCCTTTCTTGGTATTCAATGTAAATATCTATTATCTTCAGTAGGTCAAAAGCGCATTCGAATTCACATTACAGCAATCGTAAATATTTTCCTATCCTGAATGCGTTAAAGAGAAGGCTTATACAATCCAGCGCTGCACTCGTAAAAGAATTTATGAAGAAATATTTGTGAAAATGTCACGGTACCAAGAATCCAATTTATTTGTTATAATCACGAAGAAGTCTAACCTCAATATCCAAGAGATCATCTCCCATCCTAGTTCCACTAACAAGATCCACTCATCGTAATCATCACTTTGTGAATTGCTGTCTCAATTCTTACAGGAGGTGGGGTTAGCAGCAAATTGCTGAATCATTTCAAGACCTGGAAGATCGCTCATCTAAAAAGGTCAAACTGAAAGAATTATCGTCCCTGTTCTTATCCAATGAATTCAAAGGGGTGAAATCGAAATAGTTTTAAAATTACATCTTTGTAAGATAGGGATTTCAGACGGTATGGTTATATTGAAACGTCGGCAACAATATAAAATTACTGCTTCCTGATTATTTATCTGAATTTATTAATGTTTTTGCCAGCCAACATCACTAGTTACTATAGTCCATATACATGGTGAGGCATGAGAATATGATTTTTTTGAGCACGAATGAAAATAAACAAAAAATATGCGAGATAATATTAAATAAAACATCGCGATAAAAAATAGAGAGTTACTGAAATAATTATTTACTACTTGACGATTTCCAGATGAAGCTGTGGTTGGGAGCATTATGTTTGGTAGCAGTGGGCACAGTATGTGCGCAAGGACCACCGAGGGCTCGCCTGTCTGGAGGTCTACCTCATGGCTTCAGAGTGGCAGAGGACGACTTATCAGAAGACTTAGACAGGAACACCGTTACGCCATCTCTTCTTCCTAGACCTCAGCAGCAGGTACCTTACTTGGTCAATTAACTTTATTTATATATATATATATATATATATATATATATATATATTATATATATATATATATATATATATATATATATATATATATATATATATATATATAATGTATGTGTGTGTGTGAATTTATGTTTTTAAAAATAGAAAGTTTAATCCTCAATGGATTGATTAAAATATTTAGCTTAAAGATGAATAGAGTACATTGTTAGCAGGATGTCGAGACCCAGTGATTTGATTCTGGTAGTATCATTTGAACGATAATGACTAAAATAATCCTCAGAGAATACAAAAATTAACAAGAAATAAATAAACGTAAAATTATGAATTAATATTTGATAAGGCTAAAGTATTAAGGATAAAGGATCTTCTAGTAAACTATTTACTAGGTACCAGTTATGTAAAATACATCTAGAACAGGCCAAACCTTATCAATTATTAGAAATAAAAAAAAGCATATTCTTTGTAAAAATTATTTATACTAGAATTTCGGATTTTAAGTATATTTTTCTAAGTTACAGTACAGACAAGAACCACAACAAAGAGGAAGACCACAACAGGATTACCAGCAAGGTGGACGAAGACCACCACCCAAGCAGCTCCTGAAGGTGTGTAACATTTATATTGATTATTTTTGTGTTTTTTATTTGAATGTCCTTGGTCTTCCCGTCTGCTTTTCCCCCCAGTTCAGTTCCTCAGCCACCGATTCTTTTCATCTTCCTTTCGTTCTTCCGTGAGGTTTGACTCCATCTGAAATTCGCTGGTACTAAATGTGGAGTTCCCTGGTATTCCATCTGGAGTTTCCTGGTACTCCATTTAGAGTTTCCTGGTACTCCATCTAGAGTTGTCTTCATTCATCCAACACAACGTGCTGTAGACATTTGATTTATTGAACTCGCCGGAAAGGAAGGCTCGTCGTATACGCGTAGGTCTCTGTGCTTATTCCCAAACGCTTCTCTTAATGGGTTTATTTGTCAATTTTTCAGCCTAGCTTTTCCAGTATGAAGGCATAGATAAGAATGGGTCGGATGATCGATTTATTCAAATTTGTCTATGTATAACGAGTCAGCAGTTAAGACCTATATTTTTTTGAAGCCGCAATAGTTCAAATTTGTATTTCTTCCTCTTCACATAGTCGATCATTGAATATTAAACTCAAATACTAAGAACTGCTAACGCGGATTATTAAATGTGATTAAAAAAAACTTTTCAATTTATACCCTTCGTAGGATAAACTCCTCAGTTTTCAGAACTCTTAAGGAAACTTCAAAAACTGTTTTCAATCGCGTGGGTACTTGGTTCAACAATTTCAGTTCTTTTAAGTCAGTAAATATATCTTATTTCAAAATATATATATTTTTTTTGATAAATCTAATATGGCCATGCCTACATACAACGGTTTTTCAAATTTAAGTTTCGTCTTTTCCATGTGGACAGCTGATAAATTGTCATTAAAAATTGTCCTATTTTTTTTTGGTATGAATGTATTCATATATCACTATAACTATTGTCCACTTGACAGATTGTTATATTTCTAAATAAATGAATGTGAATGTGATCTCTGAACACTATATTATAAATGTCCTTTGAGACAGAATGTAACATTTTTCAATACATAAATAAATAAAAATATTTCTAAATAAATAAAATTTTCAAAATATATACGTGGAAAAGTGTCTTCCATTTATTTTTTTATATTAAACCGGAAAAATATTCGAATGCGCCAAGTTTCACTTTTCAAAAACCTAAAGAATCAAATCTGGAAGCCTTCATAATGAAAGGACAACAATGATATTGTGAAGGAATGTGTGTTTCTTGCCAAAAACGTTAGAGAAGTCCTTCTTCGGACCTGTCGGATTTCTAATCTTCAGCAATTTTCTTCGACTTTTTTTTTTTTTTTCTTTTTCTGTTCTTCCCTACCTCGCCGTTTAGGCTATACGGGATTTTCCCGGGCCGGAGGGCGATGGCGAGGAATTTAAAATCCCCTCTGGCACCGGGACGCGAACTCGTACTTTTCTTGTCTCTCAAATCTTCATATATCCGGTTGCCGGGCAACTCACGGTGCTGCGCACACGCTTTAGCCCATTCGGCCACCCCGCCCCCCTAGTTTTCTTTAATTTAAATTTTCTTCGACCTATAGAACTAAATAAATAGTGGGAGATGCTTGAATATACGACCGCAGTAGGGATTCTCGCTTCAAATGAGCGCCTCTATACCATTCCCAACACTTAATATTCTTCAATGACTGCAGTGGGTGACGAAAGCTGGAAGATGTGCCGACAGCTGGGAGTTTTGCCTTATATCATTTCCTTAAAAAATAAGAAAAATTCAATTATTTAAAATTATAATCTTAAATATAAGGGATACAACATTTCATAGTTTAAAAATTGTAAAAAATCTTAATAGAATAAGTTTGAAACACTAATATCATGTTTAAATTAATTCTTGAAATGTTGAAATTAAATATCATTTATTTTTTCAATAGGAAGAGGAATTAGAAGAAGAAAAGGAGGAACCAGATAAATTATCTTTACTGTTGCCACAGTCTAAATTTGCATGTGATGGAAAAAATACCGGGTATTATGCTGATGAAGGCTTAAACTGTGAAGTGTTCCATTATTGTCAAGACAATGCAAGACATTCATGGATCTGCCCAGAAGGTTTTCTCTTCCATCAGGTAATCTATTTAATTGATTAAATGTTTCTACCATTACCGTCTGTAGCGGGTCCACCATTTAATTTTGGGAGGGTCTAGGATATGTTTTTTTAAATAATGCATAAGTGGTCTTTGAAAGTCGTTAAAAAATTTTGCTTACAGGAACACTAATGCATTACGGGATAAATTTTTAAGTAATTTTTCTTGACACTTGTTTCTAAATGTAGCTGGAGTGTATACGTTATAATTTTTAAAAAAGTATATATTTGGTGTCTTCAAGTATTTAGCTCTGATCACTCATGGACCTATGAAAAACAAAATATTTTTCCATTTTTGGAGGAGCTTTAGCACGAAAGCCCCCTCTCCCGTGGATCCGCCAATTATTCCCATTGATTAATTTGTCTTATGATATAAATTTCCTTTAAAATTATAATAATCTGTTAATAACTATTCACCTATAAAAGCTTTATTAAATACCTATATATAATTTTTATAGGTTCATCTGATCTGTATGCCGCCAAGCAGTGACAATATATGCACTCAATCATCACAGTTCCATTTCGTCAACGATTTCCTGTACAAACCTATAAACGCAGAAGAGGCTTTGACAAGACCGAACGTGACAATCAGATATTCGGATAGGTACTATCCTGAAAACTTCTACGAAGAAGAAATCTCTGCTCCAGTAGCAGCCACCCCACGACCAAGGAATTCTCCTCAGCACTTGCTCCAGCAGCAACCTCAGCCCCAACCTCATCCTCACCAACAACATCAGCTGCAGCATCCGCAATATTTGTCCCAAAGGCCTGTACAAATCAGGCAACCAAATCAAGTTTTCCATTCTCCAGAAGAAGTAAATATACCTCTTCAACAGAGAAGGCCTGCACAAGTGAACCAGAGGCCTGGAGACGAGTTTGAGTACTAATAAAACCACGTTAAAATATTTATGGTAATTCGTGTGTGAATGAGATGAAATTGAAGATTAGGTCTTACCTAGTCATTTGCCAGTTATAAGATTTATTTTTTTTAGAAAGGGCCTCGAAGACCTTGCCATTACTTATTACAATAATTAGCAAATAAACTTGTAGTACTACTTAAATTCATAGAGAAAAAAATATATAGTGTTTAGTCTACAAATTTATATGGCTGTAGACAGACTAAATAACATGATTATACGTTTTAAACTCTTGTGTAAAATACATGTAATATGCTCAAAAATTGTATAGCGTTATCATTTTTATCTCTGTGGAAACATTTCTTGGAGAGAACAGAAAAAGGGTTAAATATGATGGCCACATTTTAGCCTTCCTATTTTTTTACATTTATTTTATATTTTATTAGTAAACATATGTTTTTATTTTGTACGATAGTTTCTTTAATGTGATTGATGTTATTTAAAGATAACAAACTGTATATTTATATAAAATAAATAATAAATATCTTTTCACATAATAGTGAGTCAGCATTGATTGTTTGAAAATAATGGTATCATAAAAAAATACAATGTCGATATTATTTGCATGATATTTTAATAGATATTGTAAGTTTGTATTCGTGATGATTAAACGGATACCATTTCGTGCTAGCTCATAAATATACTTGTGATTTATCAGAAACTGATCATAATGATGAAAAGCAAAATTGATACCACAAGAATCATTGTTTAATATATTTTAGAAAAATGTTGTATTAAATTGTGCTCTGTGTAAAGTATAAAATGATATTTGAAGATTTCTTTCTTTTTTTTTAATAAAGGATTTCTTTTTACAATTCTGTTTTTATATTTTACTTCTCCTAGAAATTATTTCTTTTAATAAGAAAATTTTATTCTGTATATAAAAAAATCCATGTAAAATCAAACTTAACAACCGACTCAGTAGTCAAAACGTTTGATTACGATGGAAGATCGAGAAGAAAACAACTTAAATAGAAAGAACAGAAGAAAATAACAGATTGTACCTCGTTAACATGAATTTGGTGGGGAGCCGAATCTTCCAATTTCATCCTGTAAAACAAAACTTCTTTTAGCAAATTCGTCTTAGCCCCATTGGTTAAAAGTTTCTCTTTACATATTTTGACGGTTTCAAAGCAGAAAAGTGTAAGAAGTTCGCGGTACAAACCACTTTTTACTAAATTATTAAAAGCAGTTAAAAGCTTCGTAAATTTCTCCATCTAATCCTGACCTGCAACGTTTATATTTACGAATATCCTTGGAAGTGTGGCATTCTCAATCTGAGATTGGTGAACTTTGTTTATTTGATGGGGTACTAAAAACTCATGAGCACTCATTTGTTTTCCACAAGAATCATAAGATAATTTGATCAAGAAATCGAAAAAAATGTGGCTTACAAAAATATTGGACCATTTAGCGTGACCTACATTCCCAACATGTCAAAATAAACGAGGTTATGAAGGTCAAATGACCCAATATTTCTGTAGGCCAATGTAATAAAATTATCTTACGATTCAAGTGGAAATCAAATGGGTATTCATGAGTATTAGTTGCTCATAAAATTTATTAATTTAATTAGAAAACGCCCCCGCGTCTGAGAATTATTGTATACAAAAAAGTTGTAGGTTACGATGACATGAAGACAATTACGAGGTTTTAGATAGATGCTAATCATTTGATAAAAAGGGCTCTGTGAAAAGAAGGAGGTTTCAAATTGTGACATCAAAATTTTGAGGGGGCATATTTCGACATGGCTATGAATTTTCGAAGCGAAAAGTTTTAAACCAGAGAAAAAGGGGAAACATGGAACAGACAGTAAATAGTTTAATTGTATATGATCTACAAATTTTTAAATTTTACTTTCGTTTACAATTTAAAAAAAAAAAAGAAGAGTATGGATGGGGGAGATGGAGTGGATGTTCATCCGCCATCGACCTTGGGGAGTGGATGGGCATCCCTGCCTCGGACCAAAGCACTGAAGTGAATAAATCGATATTTGGTAAAAAGTGTTCTTAAGCTACAGTCTTTCATATTTTTAAGGTACGTCCTAGATGTAAAAAAATATCGATACATTTAAAAATCACCCTATCTTTGACCTTTTGTTGTGTGTTGGTATTACATACCATACACATACATTGGTATTACATACCATCTTTTTTTTTTTTTTTTATAAGTTTTTATTTATTTATTTATTTGTTTTTACCATCACTACTTATTTTTCTCATACCTTGTTATCTGGTTATTTTCTTAGCCCTGATGAAGGCCTGAACTTCAGGTCGAAACGTCGGCATATGTAAAAATAAATATTATCATCTATTTTTGCCTTCTTTTTTGACTGACCACCCCAACTATTCTCCTCTTCATTATCCACGACAATCAACCATTTACCAATTATACATACCATATAGATCTTTTGTCGACTTAACAAGCCTGTTCACTGATCCATCTCTGCCTGTCTTGGGCTATTTTTTCTATTTATCTACACGCAGCTCTGTTGCATCTGTGTTGATTCTGTCTATCCGTCTGCTATATGGCCTTCCACGTGGTCTTTTGCCTTCTATTGAGGTAATCATTGTTAAGTAGAGGCTTCCAGTTGGATTGCTATGAGCTACATGCCCTGCCCATGTTAACCTCCGTGCCTTCATATTATGGGATATTGATTGACCAGCTTCTGTAAGCAGTTCTTTGTTGGTCTTTCTTCTCCGTGTGTTAGTACTCTGACCCTAAATCGCTCCGGTTATTGTGTGGAGAATTTTCCTCTCAAATCGTTCAACACTTTTTTCTAGGGTACTGGTTAGTGTCCAAGTCTCACAGCCATATATTAGAACTGACTTCATCATATCATCATACACCTTAGTTTGAGATTTTTCGGGATTTCAATACCTTTTAGAGGGAAAAGAACGTTCTGTTCGCGCTAGTTATACACTGATATATTTGAATATTATATTGGATACTAGGAGCCGAGGTATTTGAATTTTTCTACTCTCGGGAATGATTTTCCTTCTACGCAGATCCTGTTATTGGGATGGAATTTTCGGCTTATTATCACATATTTTGTTTTGTCTTCATTTCGTTGTAGGTCGATCTACTCTGCCTTTCTTATCAGTGTTGTAGCGAGTTTCTCAATGCCTTCTTGATAACTTCCAAGGACAGCTACATCATCGGCGTACCCAAGGATTTTATGATACATTCCGGGCTCTACCATTTTCCTCGAATGTTGCTGTTCTTACCTTCTCCAGGGCTAAGTTGAACAGCATTGGTAATAGTCCATGTTCCTCCGTAAGTTCAATCAAACTTTGAAGGCTTCAGATACTTCTCCTTGTATTAGGACTCTACACTTGGGCTTATTTGTACACACCTTTCTCAATCTCACCAACTTACCAGAAATTCCCAGTTCAGTCATGATTTTCCAAAGACAGCTAGTGTCCACAGAATCATTGGCTGCTTTGAAATCAACAACTAGGGCATGGACTTCTTGAGCTACTTCCTTGGTTTAGTAGGATGACGATCTGGTCTAGCGTACTCCTCTCTTTTCTGAATCCAGCTTGGTGTTCGCCTATTATATTCTGTTAATACGGATATATCAGGTTTAGTAGGATATTGGTCATTATCCTGTAGGCAACTGGAAGGAGTGCTATCCTTGACCTATGTAATAATAATTACTATAGTATTAGAATGGAAGACTGTTTATAATTTTTAAAATAGACTGAATGATTAATGTTTCAATTATGTATGTTTTTGACACCACTTAACAAAAAAGAAAAAAAAAGACCCGGAAAATAATGCAAGATTTAGGTTTAAAAAGAAAGATTTATAACTGTTTCATTTAATAAAAATAGTCCCCACTACTATCAGCACATTTTTGCCATCGTGTTGGTAAAAAAAAAACGTGTGGGCAATTTTACCATTCCCTCGGAATAGAATTTCCCATCTTAAGAATTAATAAACTCCAACAATGTATTTTCAAATTCCCTTTGTACATTAAAGTATTTGTCACGTCAGTATTGGTCCAGGTGTCTAAAAATAAACGATAATCCGGAGGCGAGAAGTCCAGAGTGTAGGGCGGGTGTAGAAGAGTTTCATATCCAAGTTCATATCCAAGTTTCCAACAGTTTTTGTGACGTCACACATGAAGACATGCGGTCGGGTGTTGTCATGCAAGACCGAAGATGGCTTTATTATTGCCAATTTCTGATGCAATGCATTAATTTGGTTATAATGCGATTCGGCATTGATGGTTTCTCCAGGATTTAAGTAGCTGTAGTGTACAAACCAAATGAAGCCCCTGACCTAACAGTAACCACCACCTTTTTTTTGATGATTTGAGGGTTTTGGAAAATGTTCTGCTACTTTTCCTGTGTCGAGCCACAAGATCGTCTACTATTATCGTAAACTATCCCCTTTTCATCACAAGTAACAATTATGGACAGAAAAGGGTCATTTCTGTTTCGGCAAAGAAGTTTAGCACAAACTTCATAACACTGGTTTTTTCTGGCGGTCGTTTATTGTGTGTGGAACCTAACTTTCAAGCTTTATTACTTTTCCGATCGCCTGAACGGTCTTTGCGCTGGAATGGGTCAGAAGAAGGCCAGCCATTGTTTCTTTTGTGTATTTAGCCTCCATCCGTTTTTAACTTGCCCCGCTCTTGAATCAGAGTGTGCCAATTGCAAAATCAAGGGCCACTAAGCCCGTATATGTCGGAAAGCTTAGAAAAATGTTCAGAAAACCAAACCTGTATCTCCAGCTTTTTAAGCATCACTGAACGGCAGATTTTGGCCCCAGTTAAGCCACGCTGTTACCCCTGCTCTTGTGAATGGAATCCCTTGTAACTGCCTCGTGGACATTGGGAGTTCTAGTAGCTTTTTCAGCCTTAACTTTGTCCGTGAACACAACATTCAAGTTATGCCTGATGAGGGACGAATATCGATGGTATCTACGTCGTTATGGACCAAAGTTGAGTGTTTAATTTCGTAGAGCTAGAAATTGCTGAACACACTTACACTAAATGTAAGTTGACTGTTTTGAAGAACTCTGTTCTGATGTTCTCATCGGACACGATTTACTCAGAGTAGATCGATAGAAAATAACTTTATTCTGGGACACAGTCCCTTGAGAATAACAAAATTAAAAGATTACATCTGGCCAAAATAAAATCAATCGAAAAAA